GCTAAACTTCTGGCAGAACTAAATCATACAAGTTATTGAGGAGTAGTACCAAGTGCCGATTAATTTTCGCATACGAAATCAATTATTGGACGTTGCTTTCAAAGAAAATTTCCAGGTTTTTCACATTCTTATGTTCTCCAGATTTCTTCGATTATTCCGACTAATGTACCTGTTCTTCTCGCAATATTTTTGACGCACAGATTTTTGCCTCAGCCCCCTCCCCCTCTTTTACCAAACTCCCATTCTATCAAAAATGGCCTTCACTTTTTGCAAGGTGCGGAAGAGCTATAACCATCATCACTTCCGAACCCTGTCCACACCGACTATCGAATAACTAGCACTGCTGGCGATTACACTGGATGTCATAAACTGACGCTTTGCTTCCATCATGCTTGTGACAGACTCGCATCCATACGATTAGGCTGACTATCATGATTTCGAAGTTGCATGCTGAAAAAATTCACCTTGATTGGTTTTGGTCCATTTTCTCCATCCCAAATCTAGAAAAATATGGCGGTAAATCAGTAAATGAAGTACTATTGAATCACTAATAAAGAAGTAGTAAAGAACCTCCAAAGCTTTTTAACGCCCTCTAAGGGATGTCATCATCTTCATCTTTTCCCTTCATTCTTTCCCTCTCCTACATACGTTTGTGTTGTCATCTTTCATTCAAAACATCAAGTCACGCCGATGATCCGATGTTGACTGCAGGACAAAGCGCTGAATGTTTTGACGTTCCTGTTCTTTTCTTCGGTAAAAGGATCATCCTAAAATATCCCTGAATAGTAGAATGGACTTCTGATCGGCTCACTTCATAGAGCTCCTTCCATTTTTGGTGGAGCGATGCAATGCAAAGTATTGTTGTACTTTCCTTTCGTCTATAGCTTACGGACAATAGTTCGTTTCTTATATTTGACAAGCATCCAAACGTTTTTCAATACTTAGGTTACCATTTGAGTTTAAGTAAGTTTGCAGTACAAGTATTACAAGAGTAAGTGTGGTGTTATACAAGTGAGAGGTGCCGACAAATTTTTTCCGCGAGAAACCGCATCTCCTTCCCCCTTTATGAAGGCTTGTCACTATTTGAGTCAATTAGGCATCTTTTTCGCAGGCTTCTCAAATTTTAGATTCAACTAAAACCTTGATTTCTGCACCACAAAAGAAAACCTTTTGCATGCAGAGATTCTGCAAAGAGCAATTGTTTTTCAAACATATAAAATTGAAATCTTGAGTTTCATACTTCATACCTGTTACATCCTTTGAGTTAGTTGAATTATCTTTATCTTCGTGTTTACTTCGAGCTTAGATAAAAGCGTTGATCAGTTTCTCTCCCTCTCTCCTCCCCTCTTTCCCCCACTAGGTCACGAGATCTATGAAGTTGTCTATCTGAGTCATCAAATTGACTTGTTCTCACTTGTGCTGGAGAAATTTCCAAAAATTTTTGATGCAAATAACGTAAAAAGTGAGAGGCTGTCGCCAACTCATTCCTTTTTTTCAACTTTGGTGTTATAGGCTCCCGAAAAAATTTCTCGGACCGCCACTGCTTTATACATAGTTTATAAAAATGATTACGAAAGCTTTTGTGGGAAATAGTTCACAGGATTACTGATGAAAACTTCATAAAGTGTTTTGCAGATAAAAATGTTAACGCGTTTGAAGCAAAAATTCTCGTACTGAGTAATGTCCATGGCTGATTTCGTAAATTGCTCATTTATATGTCGTCCTCGGACTGAGTAGAGAAAATATAGAGAAAATAGAGATGGTTCAGTTCAGTTTTTTTTGATGGCAGATAAAAAACGGATTATTCAAAACTAGTGAACGAACTGCGACAGGCGAGTACAGTTTCATACTCACTTATTGATACTACTTGGTAAAATGGAAATACGGTTACAGCATTAGATGGTCACGAGATTTTAACCAGATTTTCCAACTCTATTTTTTGTTTGAAACAGAAGGGGCCCACTTGTTTGCGAAATATTGAAAAGAAAAGCAAACATAATGCTTGACGTCAAAACTAACCAATAAAGCGCTGAGCTGTCCCAGCGCTTGTACTAATATCAAATTTTTTCTCGGCGAGGAATTTCGAATGCTTGTCTTACGAAAACACAGGAATCACTCGGTTCACATTTCTTCTCTCCACTTCCCAAGATTAATTTTATAGGCTAATCTATAGCTATTTCATTTGCCGCTGCAGCTTTTCCGAATCGCTTGCGCAGAAAGAATTGCGCGGAAAAACTGCTCATTCTCGACGCTTCACTGGTTTTAATGAGCATTCGCTCGTACATTTCTCCTGCTTGAATGAAAGTGTTCCTGATCTAGCAAAAACCGAACTATAGTTTTGATAGTGTAGTAGCGGATGCGAAGTGCTGTTAGCATTGAGCGAAATCTCGAAAAAGGGCTTTTAAGGTCAAGTGCAGTGCAAGAAAGGCAATTCTGTGTGCAAAATGGCGTGATTTTCATGCTCCGCGGAAACGTTCACAAGTGGTGCTTGACGAAGATTTTATTTTCTTCTTTTAGCTAGTGGTATGAGGTTTAAATAGTACGAATACCATAGACGGCTGTTCCTGAAGTTTCAGAACTGAAATATACATCCTCATTTTCGCAGGAGAAACCGCGATTTAGCATTCAATCATATTTGAGAGCTTTGCTGTTCGTACCCTTCCCATAATTTTTATCCTTTCTCTCTCCCTCGCCTATGCACGCCCTCTACTCCCGAGGTAATGATGACCGGCTATAGAGCCAGTTAACAACTTCTTCGTTTAAGGTCTGGAAACGAACCCAATGTACATCGATGGGTAATCTACTTTAGGATTTATATACGGGCGGTCTTGCTTTCTAGCATTTTCCTGTCTCTTTGACCATCTGATCTTACGATTTCCTGTATATTCCATTCCCATTTCCATCGTAATCGCTGCAATAAACTATGCTAACTGCCCCTTTGGTGTTTTATGAGCTTTTTGTACCTCGCATTCTCACGAATTTATATCGGAGGTAGCGTGCTGTTCCTTCAATGGATGTCAAAGCCAGCCCTCTTCGGGCTCATTTTGTTTGTCCTTTTGCTGCTCTCCTCTTTCCTTGCTTTTTTCGACAAAATCTACTCCTTGAATTTTACTCGTCATTTGTTAAGCAGAATCTGCCAATCTATTGATCAACTGCATTGGGTTACCTTATTTATCAATGAATCCTACCGATATAGGTGAGAAGATCACGCATTTGCGTTCAGAATTGTGCATTAATACCCTGGCATTGACTTTTCTTACCCCATAGTCCTACTACTACTTCTGAGAATGTTTAAATGATGTCATAGAGTCCCTTAAGAACTCCTCAGTAGACTAAAGAATCTCATAACATGAAGAGAAAATAGATACATACTTTCCACCTCAGTGAACGTATACAAACTCAAAGAAGTGATCGACTTTTAAGAATAGCAATGTGATATCTTCACGATCATACGCATCATTCATAATATCCGCACTTTCATCCATTAGGATGGCACATAAGTTTAACTGATTTTGTAACTTTTCCTTTTTGACTGTGATGCGTTCATTTTCGGAGATAATGTAGATTAGATAGTAGGCTACAAACATGCGAAGACAGTTTGATTTTTGGTAGGAAAATGGAGAAAATTTACGCATTTCTCGAAAGCATGGTCAAGAATCGGATTCTCAGGAGTCAGAATAACAAAAATAAAGCCGTTCTCAGCCTAAATCAACCGCATCAAGCCGGAAATGTATATATCAATAGAAACTCCTCTATCAATCATCTGGGCATAGATTCGGCTTGATATATTTGATTTAGATTGGTAACGGCTTCATTTTTAGTTTTCGGACCCTAAAAATTCTGAATTTGACCAGCCTTGGAAAACTGCGTAAATTTCCTCCGCTTCGCTACCAAAAATCAAAGTGCTTGTGCACATGCATAACTGCTATCTAATCTACATAATATTCAAAAGTAAAGCGCCACATCTGAAGAGAGAAAAGCTACGAAATTGATTGCAGAACTTATGTGCCAACCTATTACGTATAATTTGTCTTAACTTTCTTAAAAGTAATTCTATCATGTGAAGGAAGGAAATGTGTTCGATGTCGTCTTTCATATCTGCCGAGCTCCTTTCAAGATCTGAGTATTATGATCGGAGAATTTTTTCGTTAATTCGAAATGTGCATGTCACTTTGGAAACCATTGTTCAAGAGACGACGCTTTTGTTAATAATTATTCTTTCATATAGTAATATAAATCTCGCTTTCCATAGCTACGGTCACTAAGCATTAGCGCCCCTTCAATCGGACCCAGTCAGTGATGGCCATGTGTCCGTCATACGGGGCTTTCATCTGATCTATATCTGAAGGGGTCGTTTTTTTTTTGAATTAGCTATGTTCTTACTCTGGAAGCAGTATCTAGCATAGGACTTCGAGCTTATCTTTTGAAGCTACGAATTTTGTATCCAATAAATCTTTGACTTGTTTTGGAGCCTTATTTGATAGACAAACTGCAAAGTCGATTTAAATGCAAATGTACAAATTACTGCGTAGAAGGTAGACGGACATTTCAATTTCATTCAGGATGTGGCTTAGAAACTGTAAAAATAATATGTTGACCCTAAGATCTAGAAAAAGGGGGCGTGGTGGCAGCCACGCCCCTGAAAAAGATTTTTAATGAGGTTAATTTGAATTTTTGAAGATTTTCAAAGAGCAAATAGGTCACTTGCACATTTTTATAACCCATGTAAGTAAATTTCAAAAATTTCTCGACCCATTCTCGGAGGGGGGGGGGCAGAGGAGAGGGCCCGCGGTTGATATGTAAGTAAATTTATTTGAATTGTGTATAGCAATCCTATTTTGATAAGAATGTCCGAAAAGTACATAAGGATTAAGCGATAGTACGACGATAATCGCTTCATTTGATTTTAGAAAAAGCGAGGAAAAAACTTTTCGCGTATGTAGGTTTTGTAGTATTATCGGTGACAATGAATGAAAACGAGTTTGTAATACGAGAACCAAATGGATGGCTATGTTTATCGCAAGGTTCGAGGAAATTATTTGCACAGAGAGGAACTTGTAGGCATATCAAGGATAATATCCTTGCCTTACCAGTTTCCCATCAAGTTGTAAGTACTATAGCATCTCACGCCTTTGGCAGTCTTACAATTTATTGTTTTGATCCAACCACATAATTTTCACTACAAAATGATGGAAGTACTAGCCGAAAAGAGAAGCGAGTTGCTATTGTGAACCGGTCCTATGGCTATCATTTATCCTAGTGTCAGTATAATAACGGTGGTGGGTCCTCTTCGTGAAGAGATGACAATCATCTTCATCTTTCTCATTCGGTATGGCCAGTCTGTGCCGCCTAAGTGTTCTTGTAGGGCTTGGTTTGTAAAATATGTGTAGTGAGCTACTCAATCCTTTTCGGCCGTCATCTACAATACCGCCCGTATTTTTTTAAAAGGGGCGCACAATCGCCCGATTCATGTGGTATCACACTAGCGTGACCATATATCGCTTCAAAGTAGATAAATTCTTGATCCAAGGAAACCTCTCGACTCAGCTCGGTGCGGCGCATCTTCTGGTATAGAAGTGCCCGCTTGGACGCAATTTGAGTCCACATTTCACGAATCTCAGGTTTTTGCTTACGATAGGTGCCCAGTCAGTGCAATGTATTTGCATATGAGTAACCTACCAAGATCTTCAAATCTGAAACGTTTCGTAGCTGGCCTCCCACTGTGTCCAAACGCGCATTTTAATATATCAAAAGATGCGCTGCGCCTAGCTGAGTCCAGTGGTTCCCCTGGATTAAGAATATGTCCACTCTGAAGCGAGATATGGCTACGCTACGGTGATATCACATGAATCGGGCGACTGCGCGTTTTTTTTTCAAAAAAAATTTGGCCATTTTGCAGAGTTTGGTTCTTTGTGCACTTCTAGCTCAGTATCAATACAATTTAGATTTTTCGAAAACGATACTTGCTCGACATTGTGGTTACCACCAATTTTTTTCTTCGTATGTTGATGGTCTGAAAACGACTGTCGTTTTCATTCTGATGGTTAAAGTTCTTCTAGGAAACTCCATTGAACTGCGTCGTTTCACCTATAAATCTAGATTCATATGACTTTGTTTAACTATGTACAGGTTTTGCATGCGTTACTCTGTACAGGTTTAGCCTTTCCTCGTACACACGAATTCGAATTCAAATGATTCGAAGAAGCTTCTCAATGTTTGTTTAACAACATGCCTCACTACTCTCCAGGACATTTTTCCTTTTCTGGCATATCGGAGGAAGGTAGCAAGTGCAAGCAGTTCTGGTTACCTACAGCTTTTCACATAATGTTACATTATCCAAGGGTTTGTCCTTTTTTTATTGGTCACTAAATTTGATCAAACAGTAACAGAGAAACGTCTTAAATATTAGTCACCTCAAATTTTTATCCTCTTCTCGATGGCTACATTTCCTCTCTGATCATGCAGTCTTTGCGATGCTATCGCCATGGCTTTTTTACCAGTCAAACAGTGACGCCAAATCTCATCAGATCATGAAAGAGAACTAGCCTTTGAAAAGCGCTTGTATCCATAATGTAATGTAAACCTTCATATTCTGTTTATTTTGGATACCTGGATCAAGTTTCTTAAGTTTGCAGTAATTTTTTATCTGGGAAACCGCTTCTTGAGCGCAGGGCAGAAGCATCAAAAGCCATTTCTTGGACGCAAATGTAACTTGATCACTTGGCAAGAATGATGCTTGATAACAATCAGGCTTGCATTTGTAGATTGAAAGCTTCCAAATTTTTGCTCATGTTTCATAACTCAACAAAAATTAAGATTCCGATAAGATATGATTTACTGAAACTCCAGACGGCAGTTTGCAAGCATCTACAGAATTACAGTCCGAGATTTCTCTCTTTATAACAAGCTCACTCTTTTCCAAAGCCTGAATTAAAATTTTTCGAGAATCGGCGGAACCTTGATCAGATAGAACTGGCGTCTACAGAGACGCCAGTTCTATTTGACCTTTTTTTTTATCTTTTCTTTTTATTGGCAAACAAAAGCTTTCAAAATTGCCTTCCAAAACTTTACGGTCAGCAAGAGAATAAAATGCTGCGATGGAATGAATATTTGAACGCATTCAGGCATTTTTTACGCGGGATTTTATAATTTTTCGAAGAAAGAGGCAAAACTTTTGGGGCAACCTAATATTTTATGCATGACCGGAAATCCCTCAGGACGGATCCATACTAAAGTGGTCTAAACTCACTACTTCCCCATATGTTAGTAGTTCAATTTGCAGTCCTTTCGAGTCTGATAGATCGCTGCATGTCCTCGTTTGCTTTTTTTCGAACCTTTTCTGAAATTGCTCAGAAGTTAAGTCTTTTAGAGATTGCTCTCATGATCGTATCCCTCACAAAGGACGGAAACATGGATAGTGAATGTAATCCTTGCTCTTGAGTACCTTAGGCTCCGGCAATCTTCAAACTGAAGATTGTTTTTTTATTCTGTCAACAGCAAAGATAGATTATTTCAACACTGCCACGAGAAAAGTGGACTGTAGCTAAGAGCCATAAGGGCTGCTATATGATATAACAAACGAAAGCTTTTCTGCAGAGCAGCAAACATAAATGTTGTCCCATCTTATGCTGAATGTTCTATTTGCAACATCGGATACATTAGCGTCTTTTTCCAGTTGATGGTGGATCATGTTTGGCGCAAAAGATTACATAAGCATTGAGTCAAATGGCAAATGTTCGGCAAATGCATTTGCAGCCTTCGCTTCCGTCCACGCTGTTTTCTGGTTCAACATTGAAACCTGCCTCCGGCTTCCGCTTTCGAGCTGTCGGTTTTCCCTTTTATGAGTGGCAAAAAAATGTTTACTATTCATATGTGACTTTTCCTGATTTGGCGGATGCTTTCTGCTTGAGCCATGTAAGTACGTGAAACACTTTCTTGTGCATTTGGCACTTCTTTGAATTCTAGAGAACATCATAATCTCGATTAGGACAATGCCTTACTCTTAAAACTTCTCTTGCAAATTTCCTAAACTAGCACAGTCGCTGCAGCATCTGTATTTTGAATCCTGTCTTTTTTTATTTCCGAAGGCGAAGGAAGGACTTGTACCTTGTCACAAATCTCTTCAAATTACTCAAATCCCAAATGGGCTAATGTCTAAATGTTTTGACTCCCAAGCAAATTCAGACTATGAAGTGCACATTTGTTCATTCATTAACTCTTCTTGCGCGTGAAGTTCACTACTATGTATCGGCGTCGTAAATGCAAAGGGTATAAATTGAAGGGAATAAGATCAGTGGGAAGGAAGATATCCAAGTTATTTCATAAACGTCTGAAGAATTGTGATCCTCCACATCACCACAATTAGTGTCTTATTGTAGTAGCCCTAGTAATCTTTACTCTAGTAATATCATTAGTATATTCAAAACCCAGTGGTTGATATAAAAAGGTGAAACATACACCACTGCTCATAATTCCTCAAAAAAAGCACCGAACTTCACTGGAGTTCATGCGCATCCTCATACTAGATTTTTGTGCATATGGTGGGTAACTCATTGTGTTTATTTCCTGGACACTGAGTGACCTACCATAGGCAAAATTTATGAAATCTGACTTTCTACGGTATCCAAACGGGCACTTCTATACATCAGAAAAGCCTTGCCCAGCTGAGGAATCGTGCCCTTGGATGATTTCGTCCACTGAACCAAAATATGGCAATGCAACGCGGATTTCGGTGATCTCTTGTGGAGTTCCGTGTCTTTTCAAAACAAATCTCATATGTATGCGTAGCAGGCTTCTTTTTTGTTTCTTTTGACAAAGAATTCAATTTCTAGGCCTTGTTTGATTCTTCTCTAGAGGACCAGAGCAAGTGGTTGATGAAAGAAATCTCTTATCTTTCTGGCTTTTTTCTTTTCGTGACAATCCTACTGTGTTGTGCGTTGTGGATAAACTTATTCACATCAATTCTTTACTTCAAGATAAGTTTATTCTTATAATTGAAACATTTCTAGCTTCAACAAATACCTAACTTATTCGAGAGCATGTGCTGGATTACGTAATCAAAAATCTCGTCATTTTATTCGATTGTTACTTTGTTACTGTTAGAAATACTTGCACGTACATCTCCCACTCTTCTCTTCACGTCATGCTTTATCAAAAACCAAGCCTCTTGACTCTGCTTTTAGTCACTGCATTGCTCTTATTGTTAGGATATTCTTTTCCAAATGATTTTTGGAATGAACACATGTTTGCCAATATAAGTGGGAGCGGTGTTACGGCGGGAGCGAGCGAGTTCGATGGCGGTTTATGACCGAGGTTTTCTATTTGATGTCGACGGACGTAGTCATTCCGCTGCTTTATTTTATAACCATTCGATTTATCCCTTCCTCCAGGATCGTTCCAGATGTACTAGGCTGTTGCATAAGTTCTGTCCGATTTTTTTGCCTCATGTTTGAAGCAGCTGTTCTAAGAGAATTTCATCTCTAATTCGATACGGTTGGTATCATTGAAAAGTGCTTTCCTTGCGCTTTCTAAAGCATACCAGAATTCAATAAAATTCTTAGTGTACGGAGATCACAGGCCTAAAATCTCTAAGTGGCCGAGGTACGTTCTATCCCTAGAAATATGTCCTTGCGAGGATATCTCCACAATGCGCCCTTCAAGTCAGGTTCTTTCATTGGCTTCGGAATAAGGGTATGGAATGCTAGTATATGCAGAAGTTCGGTCCCATGAAGAATACGTCTTGCTAGTGAAATTTATCCTCGAACATAAATCTTTGGTATAGATGTTTTACAAGCAATAACTTTCTGCGAAAAGAAGTAATCGACAAGCTCAAAGTTGGAGGTGCTAGGGCAAAGCAAGAGCTAACAGGGCCCATCCACCAATTCCTTTTCGGCGCTCACGTCAGTTGTAAAACGTTCGTAGTTCATAAATAGGCATGCACACATGTGCTGAAGCGAGGTCAAAAAGTGGCTAATTTTTTGTTCGGTCAAAAAAATCTCTCGGCAGCGCAAACCCTATGGGCTCTTTCATGTTGCATAATAATCTACGAAAATTTCTCTATCCATCCATTATTAGAAAAGATGCCTATCAATTTTCATAAGGGAGCGTTACCATGTCAAAAAAGACAGATTCGAAGAAAAACGCTGCGAAGTTTTTGCATTCTTGGTTCTTCCTTAACAAAGATTTGCGCAGATCTCAGTATGCATTTTTTAGCCAAGGGACTGCTCAACACATAGAAACTAAGACCTTGGAAAAAAGTTGACTCTGAAAGAAGTTATGACATTTTAAACTCAAAAATTCAAATCGGACAGAACTTATGCAACAGCCTAATACTCAATAATTTTAAAAAGTTTTTCGGAGACTTCTTGTTCATTTTCTTCATAGCTAGCAAGCTTTTCGCCCCCGCATTCGTCTTCGTCTATAAAATTTCGCGATCCGTCTCATAAACAGAGATGTAATTGCAGCGCCGCAACGCACAATGTGAAGAGGAGCCGTTTTGAAGAAGTGGAGAAGAAAAAATTCAAATTTCAACAAGCAAAAACCTTCGAACTTCTTGATCCATATACAGAAGACGGCAACGCATCCTTCACAAACTGGCTGAATTGTCACCACTCGACGCTGATCTACTTGATCGATTTCACGCTTATGGTACCGTTTTTCTATTTTTTTATGTGAAGTTATTACTTATAGCAAAGTGCAGATTTCTGCCCTGCAGGTGAAAGAAATCTGCATTTGCAGAAAATTACACTGTTCCGCTGACATCCTCTTGTGTGTTCCGTCATGTCATCATAAATCACTTGTTAAGCCAAACTTTTGAATTTTTACAAAAATATAGAATAGTTCAGTACAAGAGTTCGGAAGAGTGAGCTCAGGTCTCAAGTCATGGACTTGACTACTTTATTGTCTGATCTGAAGTCCGACTTGAAATTGGCAAACGTTAATGCACCAGAGGTTAACAATAGTCATAAAAAGCTCTTTTTTCTTTATTCAAATTTTTATTTAAATGGATGAACGCTGTTTTCGCTGTCCTCCTACCGGTACCAAGCTCCTAATCATCATTGGTAAATTATGTTGATTTGATAACCTCCAACGCCTTCTAAATATGGGACCATATCCATTTCTTACTTCAGTCGCATCTTTGCCCTTGCCACCTTCTGTAATGCTTGCAGCATGGTTAAGAACTAGTTATTGCAGTTCTAATAACGTTAAATGTAGTCTAAGTCAATCGTCCAGTCGCAAATTGTCATGAGTTTTGCTTCGAGGGTTGAAGTCTAAAAATTGAGGAAGAAAGCTGGAAGAGGCGATTAGTTTCGAAATTATTTGATTCGACTTGTATAGAATATGAGTATGAATACAAGCTAATTCAAGCTTCATAAGCGGCGTGAATCTTTGATTTTTACAGAATATAAATTAAGCAAACTTCTTATAAGTACGTACCTTTCTTGAGTTATCTGCGACACGATTTGTTACTGGTAGAATTAGGTCTAGGAGGCAATAACAGTTCATGTCGAGGTTGACCCGGTAATAAAACTTTGGAGGCATCGCTGCGATTCAGACGCTCCGACCCTTTCCTACTCAGTAGTTTCTTTACGTATGGTGCAGATCTTTTCTTCACAATGTGATTTACTTACGTCATGAGGCAGCGTTAGAGTTATCCGCGTGCCCAGAGTGTGCCAGCGCCGTGCCGGAACTCATATACATACGAACTCCTTATGGTCGATTTCGCCATGGCGCTAGGCGGCACTAGTGCGAGCACAGACAACTCTAGAAGCAATGATCATAGTTAATTATCATATAGTTTTCATAAGTTGGGTACTGAAAGCTCTTCACACCCTTTTCAAAAAATCGTAACGTTTTCCTGTCACGATAGTCGTGCATGGCAGAAATATCAGAAATTTGCGCTGATCAAGCTTTTCTTTGAAAATTTATGTTTTTCCATAAAAAATGCCAAAAACCAGTTTTCCCAAGGCCGTGGGCGTACCTCACGCGACTTCATTTGTGACGCTATTCGGCAATACTCCAGTTGTTCATAACTCATTGTAAAGGGATTTCCGGATGTACGGAAGATAGGGCATTTTATCGACCTACGAAAGTTATACATGCTGCGCCTTTTGGGGCCTGCCAGTATTGAATTTGAAGGCATCTGGCAAATTGCTAGATCGTGTGGTGACTAAGATAGTTTAGAGTATGCCCATGGCCTAAGAGGTTGATTTTTTTGACATTTTTACTCGAAAATCGCAACTTATCAAAAAAAGCCAGATCGGTATAAACTTTGCTCTGTTACAAAGAGGAGGTCAAGAAACTTATAACACACTGGCTGTTTTGGAATTTATCGCAGTTTTTGGATCTTTAACGGGCTTGCCTCAAATCAATGAACCCGGAGTGATTTCCTTTCCCATTATTATCTCCGCAACCAAAATTTTAGAGAGAGCAAGCAAGGTGCTTTTATAAAGCAGATGAATTACTCTTTCTAATGGTAGTTCTGCCATGCAAGACTATTGTGATAGGAAATTGTTACGATTTTTGGTGCGACAGATTTTCGGTTCAACCTAATACAAGGTGTCCCAAAAAATTGTGCCTACCTTTGATTGTTAATAACTCTCTTGTCACGAAGTCTTTCAAGGAACTCTAGGTACCATTTTGTAGAGTTAGCCAATTTAGATCTATCGTGTGGAAAGAATAATTGATCCCCATTACTGTAAGAATACCGTGTAATATTCGGCATGTGAGGTCACTGCGAAAAGGCTACCATTTCAAATAATTTCGAAAAAAAAATCTGAAAACTTGTGTGATAGGTTTTTCGCCGCCGAATTGAATACTGAACTTTGTAAAAGATTATGAAACTTTCTAAATGTGTGACCACATTTCTTAACAAAATCGAAAAAGGGAGATATCTCTCTTTCCTCTTGTTTCGTCTGCAACTTTGCGATTAAGCAAAAATACGCAAGAAATTGACGTACACCAGGACACTTCTGTGCTCGGTTAAGTGCCAGCTCTCCTGATGATTTTTGCTTTGCCCTTGCTGTATTAGCGAAAAAATTTGATTGAGTGGTCGGAAGCGCACAAAAAGAGTTGATGAAGGCTCGCGAAGGGACATTTGATTTATTACATTGCGAACAAGCATGTCGTTCTAGATTGAAACAGATGATAAAGCGCTTTCTATAGCCTTGGAGACTATTATCTGTGTTGACTAGCACTTAGCAAAGTGGACTGTGTCTTTTTCGATTTGCATTCTACTGAATAAGAAAAAAGGGGTATCAGCATTTTTTATACACTCATACTTCCCAGTAATTACGATTACCATCTTGCCTGTTCAATGTAGCGAGCTATCGAACTTGCGGATGCTTATAAATTAATTTTTCGCTTGTCCGAATAACCAGTTTTTTCAACAATTCAAAGTTCTGTCTGAATTTGTTTGGGGTAATTAACATGCGACTCCATACCATCACACCTGCTTGGCATACAAATCTTTTGCCATGTGTAATTTTGAAATTAGCCATTATTTCAACATTTCAAACGCAACAATTCTTGACATTACACTTCTATAATTGGAAGATTCTATATAAAGCGAACAAAAACATTTGTAAATTTGCGAGGGCTCCACTTTTAGAACTTCAAGGGGAGAAGTTGGAAGTGAACACTATGGCATTTCGATATCTTTTCTGATTTACAAAGTTACTTTAAAACGGATCTTTGAGACCCATTAATTGTTTTTATTTCTTAGAAATTCTCATGACCAAGAATCTAATGTGATCGCACATTCCTGACATTCTCTGGCACAAAAATAAGGTTAGTGACGCTTTTCATAGATGCTCGAACTTTTTGCACAAAACTATGCAAAGTTTGCTTTGCTTATGTACCAATGAAGAAAAAACCAAGTGCCGTTTTTTCCGTTTGTTAACATTCTTTGACATCGCCGTCATTCGGATTAAGTACAAAAAAATCTTTATGTAAACGTGATCATTCTGTGGCGGAAGAGAAAACAGAATTTTTGTTTTTATGTGGGTAGGAGGCTAACAAAAGTTCCCCAAATCGTTTCATTTCTCTGCTCTTCCGTGTTTATAGTCACAAAGCATTTTATTTGTCGAAAACTGACACTTCACAGTATATGAAGTCTTTAAAAAATGATAATACAGCTATAAATCAAGAGAGATGTATAGCGAGGAAGGCGCACCAAAGTAAGTTACTTCTCCCTCTAGATTCCAGGATCGCAATAGTTTTTCATAGAAAGTCGTAACAATAAATAGACGAAAATAGGCACTAAAATACAATAGTCAGAAATTATGCTTCCTTAAGTGCTCCGCCAAAATAAGAACTTTCATATCATATTGTTTGTGATAGGCAATAATCTAACACGTGTTAGCTTTATTAGATTTTCAACTACTACAATTATTTCGCATCTTAAATCTTGAAGGAAATCTTGAGGTTATTATAAAACAGTTGTTTTTAATTTTTACTAGGTTTTGGCTTGATCAAGGGCTCGCTTTTTTATTTTTTATGAAACACATGCATGCTTACAAGGAGAGGATACTTAGTCGAAAGCACCAATCCGGGTGAGACATATATCATCTTGAAGCGCTTGAAACGCTGATTCCAAATCTGTAATTTTTAGCTGCGGAGCGATTTTGTAGAAGGAGTTATGAGGGGTGTTCCCCTCTGGGGTTGAGGCGCCCTCCAGCGGTCTCCCCTTATTTATGAGCACTGCGGAGGAGTATCAGCTGGCGGCAGTTGGCCTAATGGTAAGTAACTTGAATGAAGATTACAATAAGGATTATAATACTCGTATTACTTTGGTTTTTTTAACACTTCTAACTTCGATTACCATCAATATCACCAGAATTTTCAGGCTTTAGGCTTGAGATATACTTGACGATGGGTCGCTATAGCTGACGATAAGACGCTGCCAGCAGCAACGCCTTTTATGCGTATCGATTGACGCCATGCAACGCTGCTGCTTCTGGCTGCTGCAGCGAACGCGATACAGACCCGCTATAGCTGGCGATGCTGCGCTGCTCTGCGCTGCTGCTTGCTGCTCGTAGCTGCTCCTCGCTGCTACGCGATATGAAGCTCACTTTTGGTGAGCTTCTCTCAGCTGCTTCACGCTGCTAGCGCTGATTTTGCTCGGATTTGCCCGTTTTTAACATCCTTTTGAACTTCTGAAGGATTTTTAGAGCGCTTATTGCGTTACTGAACTGTGACAAATTTGCAAGACCAAAACGCAAATGCTTCTTCGATAGGAAAATTAACAGAGAATTGACAAAGTGAACGAACAAATAAATATGAAAATCGCACAAAACTTTTGCGAAGAATCACATTGGATTAACAAAAAATTAGAAAATTTACGATTTAGTGGGATGTTACCAGTACACCTCAATACATTAATGGCAGCTATGACCTAGGTCGTTCGGTTTTTGCCTCAAGCACAAATCAAGATTCTATTGCGACACCGCTTAAATAATGGTAATGATTATTTTCTCAGTACTAGTGCAACATTTGGTTTGCAACTGTATGCTTCTTAAAAAGATTTGTTGATGAGAACAGGATGATTTTGGAACATGTAATCATATTCTTCAGTTTTTGATAGTTCTCAAAACTTACTTTCCTAATGGGCTAAGCTAAGCGTAGTAATGGGTAAAGCTACTCGTTCT